AAAATAAATTAATTTAGATTTTTTTATAAAAACGTATTGACATGACATAAATTTAAATTTTTTTTAATAGAGATCATGCGTCAATTCCATGGTATAACGGATTAGGTGCACTTTTTTTAGTTTGGGGGCTTATGTGTTAGTTTGGCAAAAGTTTGAGGGCATCAACAAGAAAATATTAAAAAGACTAAAATTCGACTATAAAATGAAGCATTAGCTTGCGTCTTCACAGACAGGCTCTATATCAATAGATGGGAAATCCACATATTTTGGTCGTTCCGTTTCCAGCCCAAGGCCATGCAATTCCTCTCATGGAGCTCTCACAAATCTTGATCAAACATGGCATCAAAATCACATTTGTGAACACTGAATTCAATCACAAACGAATCACAAATGCATTGGGCAAAGAACCTGAAGGGCAAGTTCATTTTGTTTCAATCCCAGATGGGATGGGTGCGGAGGAAGACAGGAATCATATAGGGAAGTTCGTTGAAGCATGCTTGAAGTTCATGCCTAGTGAGCTTAAGCAACTAATAGAGAAGATTAATCAAACAGATGATGATGAGATTACATGTGTTCTAGCTGATATGACGCTAGGATTGGGAGTTGAAGTTGCTGCAGAGTTGGGAATAAAGAGAGCTGCACTATGGCCTCCAGCAACCCAGATTCTAGCCTTGATTTTGAACATCCCCAAGCTGATTGATGATGGAGTTATTGATGAAAATGGTAAGAATGAAATACTTTACAGCCTTCTCTAATATTTCTCAAATCACTTATGAAATCTTATCAATAGGTACTCCACTTAAACACGAGATGATTCAGTTGTCACTGGATTCACCTGTAATGAACCCATCCAATTTTTTGTGGATGACCATTGAGGACTTCACCACCCAAAAGATTATATTTGATCTCGCGCAGAGGGATAACATAGCCATCAAGAAAGTTGAGTGGCTACTCTGCAACTCAACATATAACTTGGAGGCTGGAGCATTTGCCTTGGTTCCTAAGGCCCTCCCAATAGGCCCACTTTCTGAACTTGACAAACTAGGAAATTTGAAGGTTAATTTTTGGCCAGAGGACAGTTCTTGTTTGAAATGGCTTGACCAACAGCCTCCACGCTCAACCATATATGTGGCATTTGGCAGCTTCACAGTTCTCAATCCTACCCAATTCCAAGAATTGGCGCTGGGTCTTGAACTCTCCAACAGACCATTTCTTTGGGTAGTGAGACCAGATATCATAGAGGGAAAAGATGACGCTTACCCAGAAGGATTTCATAATAGAGTGGTTGATCGTGGGAGGATGGTGGGTTGGGCACCACAACGAGCAGTTCTAAGTCATCCTTCCATTGCTTGCTTCATAAGCCACTGCGGTTGGAATTCCACCATGGAAGGCTTAAGCAACGGAGTCCCTTTCTTGTGCTGGCCCTACTTTGGGGACCAATTCTTGAACGAGAGCTACATTTGTGATATTTGGAAGGTGGGATTAAAATTTGAGAAAGATGAAAATGAGATTATCAGAGGAGAAGAGATTAAGAGCAAAGTAGAGAAACTACTGAGTGGTGAGAATTTTAAAGCGAGGGCTCTTGAATTGATGGAGAAGACCATGAACAGCATCAAAGAAGGTGGTTCCTCTGAACAAAATCTCAAGAGTTTCATTGAATGGGTGAAATCATAGACAAGTTGTTTGCAGTTTGGTTTTTGCATCATTTTCTTTGTCCTATTTTCTATCTTTTTCTTCATGAATCATCTATGAAATAATGCAATAAAATTAGGGCTGCAAGTAGGTCCTGGGTTATCCATGACCAAACCTGATCCAATCCAATCCGTTGGATTGGGTTGGTTCCTCATGTAATTTGGTTTTACTTTGGTTTTACTTTGGTTTGGATTCTTAAGAAACCAATTAGTTGGTTTGGATTGGATCAAAACCATGGTTAATCCATAAAACCATGGGTTCAAATTTTAAAACTTGAAGTTGAAATACAATTTCTCGCTTTCTTTTCTAATATGCATCCAATATAGTTTCTTTTTCGTTCATCATGCCCGATACATGTTTGCAGTCTTTTTTAATTAGTTTTTAAATATGCATTTAAATGAATTTTTATCTAAGTTAATTAATTACTCCTTCAATCCCTCTATTTAATTTTAATAGTTTTAATTTAATTTTTTGATTTTCAAAATATAAATTTTAAATAAAAATTTAACAACTTACATAAATAACAATTAAAATTTTTAATTTATATGCATTTTTTTGTTAAATATTTTTATTAAATAAAAAATTAATTATTTAAATTTTTATATAAAATTAATATCTAAAAATTAAAAAAAATTAAAATAAAACTACTGAAGTTGAACAAAAAAAAGTATAATTTTCTTAGCTAATATCATCATTTCTATTTTTGTATAGGTTTGATGATGTTTTTACATATAAGTTTTCACATTTTTCTTTTCATTCATACCAGCTGGGCAATTTATCATTTAATTTTTAAAAGAAAATAACCTAGTATTAAAATTGAGATTTTTTTTTTTTTGCAAAAATTTGTAAATTATTTTATCAAAATTTTCTTCTTCTTCTTATTCACCTTAAATATGATCAGATTAAGTATATTTTATTTTTAAATATGTTAAAAAAATAATAAAATTATTTCTTTTCTTATTCACCATTAATATGAACTTAACTTATAAAAATCCAATGCTTGTATTCAACAATTTGTTAGTTTTAGTGTTTAATTTTTGCTTCCAAATACTCTATCTCTTCTAAAACAATTGTTTCTTTTTAGCAAATTTAAAATCAATTTAATCTAGATTAAATAAAAACAATCATTATTTTGGAACAAACATTTGTTTTAATTTTTAAATTTTGGGATTAAATTATTATATTTTTAATTTTTAAAGACTACTATTGTAAATATTTTATTTTTACCTTAACAGAATAGTAACAAAGTTTAAGGGTTAAACTCTTCAAATCTTTAAGTTTAGGAGTTCAAAATTTTATAAGGTAAGATGAAAAATTAAAACTTTTAAATTTATTAAAGTAAAAGGTTAAATATACACTTTAGCCAAAAAAAACAACACTCCCGTGGAAGATTGTTGTTTGCCTGCTCCTGAGTTAAGAAAATTGATTTGAGAGCTACTGAGCCTTTAGCTTGGACCATCAATTATAGTACTCATATACAATGTCTGGTTCTACTTAAATATATACCGTACCACCAGCCTGACTCCCGCCTGCTTAGTAAAGAACAAAAACTCGGGAGCTACTGAGCTTTCGAGCATGTATAATGGGATTCTTTTTCACTATTTTTTTTTTAAGAAAATAGAGACATGCGGTTACTCAATTTAAAGCATTTCATATAACCCAATGTTATTTTGTGCACTAAAACAGTTCGGTGAAATATGTTTAGGTACCCAAAAAAAGCCAAAAT